CAGTTCGCATCGTGACTTGCCGTGAAAGATTATACGATTCTCATGATTTGCTTTTAGTGCCACGCGCGTGTTCGGTGTATGAAAAAGAAAAAAAAAAAAGACAAAATTATAGATACCCGCTTTCGGTCGCTCGTCGAGACATGCGTGCCATGGCGTTCTGGTATCTAACAGAAAGAAATCGCTCGGAGAAACGTCCGAGCAAGAATTCGATCTTTCGAAGGTAAGGAAAAGAAAAGAAAAGAAAAATAGACAAGTCGCAAGAGACGCTCGATAAAATTTCGCGGTCTCATTCATATAAATTAACGTCAGAAGTGCTTGTCAGGCAGAAATATTCCGACGACCGAGCGAGTCTCGCGTTATGAAACCGCGAATCGGGTCGCCCCGCCGTCTTCCCGATACCATTACATATTGATACGTACACGTGAACAACATATGCAACATACCAAAGCACCAAATCATACACGACCACCATGCGCGAAGATTGGGAAAAGGAGATGTGCGCGCAACGAACGCGCATTCTTATGAAGACAGACACAAAAACCAGACCAGATATTTTCCATCAAGACTGAAAGAGACGACAAAGAGACGACGTTAAGAAGATAAACATCCAATTACTCTCGTGAACCGTATCCATCCCGTGTGTTCCCATCCCTTAACGCTCGATGTGTTCGCCATCCTTGTCGCGTATGAGCTACACGCGATATCGGAAGGTTAGCGCCAAAAAATGAGTAAACCGCAGAGTCAATAAGACAACCAATCTCTCTCTCTCTCTCTCTCTCTCTCTCCCTCTTCCTCTCTCTGAAACAACATGTCCAATTACGACAACGAAAGTTAAGGCCGGGCCCTCAGAGTAAAACGTAACTTTCTCTTGAACGAGTCATGTTTCTTCGAGAAAAGCATCCGGAATGCAGCGCGAGCGTGGATAACACGAGGTATTCTCTCCGAAATTACCAAAGTACTTCACTTCATTCCGTTCTCCTCGTTTCTCTTCGAAAACAGACCCGAATATCGTCCCGAGGCTCGTGAAGATGATCTAACCCGTGCGCTCCGGCGTGTCACTCGAGGTTACGGAAACGTGTGGAAAAGCATCGTCGAAATGAGCGCGCGAGCTCGCGACTGATGAGGTTAACTCTTGTAGACACGCGTGTCGCGCATGCAAATGGCCGGGTATCTGTTTCGTGTCATCTTCGTGAGCTCGCCCGCGAGAGGTGTGCCAAATATAAATGACGCGTGTATCCGCGCGTGAGCCCGACGACGGCGACTCCGAGCAGCGATTTCGAGTCGGCTGCGTAACCTCGATTAACCGGCTGTCAGTTGACGTCTGTTAAGGCACTTGAAATGCTAATTTCCCTAGGCGGGGCACCGTCGAAGAAAATTCAGAGTTGAAGCTCGTTTACCTACTTCCACATCCATTCATGGCTCGTCTTCTTCTACGGGAAACTGAATAGCCGTGCATTAACATGAGAAATAAGCGCCGATATATATAATATATATATATATATACACACATAAAAAAAGAAAAAAGAGAGAGAGGAAGGGAGGAAAGGAGGAACACACTGCAATACGCGTAAAGCGCTGGATCTCCTTCGAGCTCCGCTATACATCCAGACGTGAGAACGAGTGTACGTGTACCCTTGGGGAATGTGAAGTCACCGCGATCGGCTCTTTTACGGAATATCGAAATCCCTGACGACGACGCGCGAAAGATTCCCCGCGTCGTGAATTTTAACGGGATCATCGCCGCGCTGATTGCAGCGGGAATGTGCGGGTGACGCGTTTCATCTTCTTGTAAAGGACGGCAGTTAACGTATACACAGTAGCCACCCTATCACGGCATTTCGCGCGTCTTAAGTCCACGATGATCGACGTCGCGTATATCGTGTGTCGTAAGTATATATAAAAAACATCTTCAATAAATTTAATCTCTCTAGTTTTCGAATACCGAAAGTGTGCGAGTGAGCAAGTATTTTCGTGAGAAAACGCTACGCGCGCACCTGTCAAACGCGAGTTCTTGTATTATTTCGTCTCGTCTCTATACTGCGTTAAATATATACGAATGATCTTTATACAACACACTTTATACAACTGTAATACACCCGCCGATATATTCATTGAAAGCGCGAGAATTTTCTAAATCTTGAAAGACGTTCGTCGTGATGCACGAAGAGTCGAGAAAGAAAACGCTCGATAATGGAGTAGCGATTCGGTGTAAGGTCGCGTAAATTCGTCACTATCACATACTCATTTCATTTTATTGACAGCATGCTCTCGGCGCGTGCTCGTGTTCTACAAATTACATAGGAGTTCTAAATTTAGCCTATAAAGGGGGGAGAGAACGAATTAAATATTAAAATTTACATTACAATACAACTGTGTATTTGTAAACTCTTGTGTCGCGCTTACGCTATCGATCGTAAAAGATTGATAGTCGAATTAGATAACTTTAACATTGAGCGGTAATCTCGTCGAAAGATTACGAAGAACAAAGCCTCGACCGTCCAAGTCCTCAACAGTCTAATGTCGAGGTGTTCTCGCACGGTGTTTTCACCTCCGCTAACACCATTGAACACCTCACAAAAGGGATTTAGATATTCCGATAGAACGAAATGCATAATAACGCGGCGCGCGCGAACGATGATTGTTCCGTGTCGTGCAAAACGACTGTCTGACAATCAGATAAAACGTGTAAGCGGCGAGACGATGACCACGGGATACGCGCGGATAAAAATGATAACGATCGAAAACGGTACCCTCGGTGTGTACGTCAATGTACATTTTCCGAACGATCCGCCAACACCTCGATCGTGACGTTTGAATCGACAAATTTTTATGTTATTTTGTAGAAATTTTTATATAGAATAAAGAAAATTGCATGCTTCTTGTACCAGAAACGGAGATATGTCGACACGTGGGCCGTGAGCCTCACGGTGTCAATCGATACAGCTCGCTCGAGTATCAGTCGTTGCAAAAAATTTCGTTAAAAATGCCGCAACATGTTCTCTCATAAATCGCCATTTCGCTACGAGAGATTTCTCGAGCGTGCGATGTATTGTTCCCGAACTGTGTCTTCCCTCACTCTTCCTCCCTCTGCCTGTCTCTCTCTCTCTCTCTCTCTCTCTCTCTCTCTCTCTCTCTCTCTCTCTC